CATCTCCCCTGGGAAAAGAATGGGAGGAAATCACTAACGTGGAATGAAAACACTAATTTGCAATCATGTAGGCAGTCGCTGTGTCCAAGGGTGCCAAAATGCTTTTAAATACAAGTCATCAAGTTTAGCAGATGGAAAGCCAGCAAGAAGTAAATCACTTATTCAGAGTGATTGGTCTCTCCTGGACCAAATACAAGTGCTGTGGGGATTATGGTCAGTCTCCTGAAACCATTCTTCCCCCACAACCAAGGTCCTGCCGTGAGTCATGCAGTGCTTTAAACTTCGGTCCATTTAGGGACTTGGCTTTCTTCTACAAGATATCCGGCATCATCTTGGGTAGAGAGAAACAGATACCTTTGTGGCGATGTTCTATCTCCAACAGAGCCCTACCTACTTCGCATCAGGCTAGACTTTTCAGATGCTCATTGAACACGTTAGCTTCAATATCTCCAGTCGTTTCAGATTCAAATCATCTAAAACAGAATTGATCTTCCTGCTTTTACCTGTGCTTTTTCTCCTACCTTTCTGTTTATGTTTTGGTACCATTCATTATTGCATTCTTGTTGAAGCCAGAAATCCAAGGTGCATAAAGACTTCTTCTCCGTCACTGCTTGCCTCTGATGTGGCTAAATGGAGGAATTCTCTCTCCAAATAGCCCTTGTATATGGTCTCCCCTATATTTCTATAGACACAGCCTTAGTTCTGGCCTTCACCATTTATTATCTCAATCATCACAATCCCTTTCTAACAGATTTATCCACCTTTGGTATGATTTCTGTTTCTCCATTCAACAGACCCTTGAAGATCATCACCCAGGTGCCAGGCACATTGCAAGGTGCTAGGGACACAGCACTGAGCAATCTCCCTCTTGGAACTTATACTCTGGTGATGGGTGTAAATGGAAACATAAGTAGAGGAACAAATGAAGTATTAAGTGTTGGGTAGAATAGAAGAGAATTGACTTAGGGTAGCTTACATTCAGGAGGGTCTCTGAGGCGTCCTCTGTGCCAAAACCTAGCAAAGAAAAGGAGCTCGCTCTAGTGGAGTGGAAAAGCATTTCAAACAGAGGGAATGTGAAATACTGCTCACAAAGTGCTACACTTTCATAGACACAGGAAAAGAAAAGAACTTGGCCTTTTTAAGGAGTCAAGGAGGACTGCTGTGGTTAGCGTTCAGGGAGACAGGAAGCAAGCACGACCAAGTGAAGTTGGAGGTACCGGCTGGGACCAGAGCACGCAAGGTCTTGGAGGCCTGTCTTCCACAGCCTGAGAGGTATTCTGTACTCGGACTTGAATCACAGCATTGACACTCTTAAATCGTGTCTTCCAGTTACTGATAATGTCCAAAGTTTGTATGATGTTCAGGGCCCTTCCTGGTCTGGATGCCACTTGCCTTTCTAGCCCCAGGCCCTGAAACAGCCCGCAGTCACGTGTCATCTATATATCCTAGCAGGATAGCTCCTCTTCACATGCCTTCTGTCTTGTGTGTGATGACCACTGTTTCATCTTCTAAGACTCATCTTAAGTTTCACAGGAGGAGTCAAGATACGCCTCTCTGTTATTTCAAGGGCAACTCTACTCTCGCCTTGGAGGCTGTTTTTGTATGTCTCGCCCACCGTCCTGCGCACTCCTGAGAATGTGAGAGTCTGGATCTTACGTGTTGGGGTGGTCATGGCGCCTGATACAGAACTGGCATTCAATCCATCTTTCCTGAGGGAGGGAAGGCAGGAGGAAAGGAAGAAAGTTTTGCCCAAATGCACTGGAGGGGGACACATGACATTCTGATTCCATCTATTCTAAGGTTCAGTCTATTTTTTTTAAATCAAATTAAATTTTAAAGAAAAAACGAGTGGCTTTTATATGTGATATGTTAGCCCGATTAGTTGTAAACACGGTTTAATTATCAGAGAAATTCTTAGAAAAAAAAAACACAACAGGACATAAAGGAGCAAACTTGTTATCTGTAAGACCTGGAGGTACAGAGCTTCAAAATTCCACTTCTTGAATAGACATCATAGGCAGTGTCTCGTGGACAAGAGAAAAGTGACCACCTTTACAAAGGAGGATGACAAGGTTACTTTTTAAGAGTCGAACCAGGAAAAAAGTGGATTATCCAGCTATGGGAGGTAACATATGTGAATGGACATACCCAAAGCTATTATCAAGGTGACCACACTGTCATCCCAGCAAGGGGGAAAAGAGCATCAACAAATACAGTGAGAGGAGAGGCAAGTGATAGGGATGCAACGATGAACCAACGTGATAGTTTCATCATGACAAAGGAAAATTCTTTTCCCTCAGTGACTATGCTTGCTTTCTGGTTTATACATCAGCTCCTTGTGAGTTTGGGAAATGCAAGTCAGTGCGTCTGTCTTTGGGCACTGACAATGACGACCGTATGACCACAGGCTGAAGAACAGCCTCGGCACCGGGGTCATTTCACCAGGGCTGATGTGCTGTGCGACCTTGCCCGGCTCCCAGCTGGCCAGCCCCAGGTGGGGCTCACTGCAGCCCCTCTCACATCCAAATACGTGCTTTGGGCCAACAGCAGCACAGGGAGTCCTTTCATCAGGATGACAACACAAGGCCAAGTGCATTCCATTCACGACCAGACATAGGCTCAGCACGAAATGTAACTGACACAGCTTGGGCTCCTAAGTGACCTTCGGATGCCAGTGTCAGTCACATGATTCTAAAGCAAAATTAAGCTTGGGTTCTATTCATCTGGAATGCATTACTAAATGAAGACATGGAATAGAGGTGACTTTTTTTTTTTTTTTTTTAGAACTTAGGAGCCAACTCTGTGGTGGGGAACGGAGGTGCTTGGAACAGGAGAAAGAACTAAAATTGTGCCCACGAGTCCAAGAAAGCTGCGATGTTATGACATTTCCAATGCTGACATGTAAATTCCCTACGGCTTCATGTAAGCACACTCTTGTCTAGAGGAGAGTACTGGAAAAGGTGCAGGGGAACTAATGTCTCAGCTCACTCACAGTGAACATTTGCTCCAATGAGGCTGGGGTGCTATGGGAAGGAGGTTTATAGTCCGGAGTTGGTAACTGGAATACCACACGGCTGGAAGGACTCACGTCACACGGCAGCCTGATACACTACAGTGCGATGTGCCCAAAAAGAACTGAATCGAGTCTCAGGTGCTGCCACCATTATGAAGACTCATACCCACAGTGCTGCACATCATGGTGATGAAACCAGGCATACCTGGTTTCCACCAAACTTTGGAGGAGTGGTGTTGCTTAGGATACCACTCTGTCGCTAGAGCTGGAGAATTCCTTTCCAAACTCAGACTACATCAAAAAAGCTCATCTCTTTGACAAAAGACGATCAGCTTTCCTGCTGATATATCTGTTTCATTTCTTTCAATTTTCCTTTCCTGTGTCACGTCACAGTTCCCTCGTTTGAATTTACCAGAAACTCAATTTTTCTAGAAAATCTAGCTCCTAAAAATCACTGAAGAATCCCTTTCTCATATTTTGATGGTGGATCCCTTTAGCTGCCCCTGCCCAAATTCAAATCCCCTGCTGCAACATTTTTTGAGGTTTAATATTCATCCTTAAATATTTAGTTCCACTTAATTAAGCTAAAGTATTATAAATAGACAGCTTGTTTGCATCCTCTGTGACCATCAGCTAATTCAGAATATCTTTAGTTTTATGGGGAGTTTTTTTATGTTTGCAATAAAGCAAAATTTTAAACCATTAGTGTGTATATCTCGGTATCTTTTGGTTCAGGACCTGTGCGAGTCTTCTGCTGTGTACCTGGGTAAAACAACCTTGAGGCAACACAGAGTAAAAACCTGAAGGGCAATGAGGTCTGAGAGAGTCTCCACTGTTAAGCCCATGCTGAATTCGACTGAAACCATCTACGGGAGATTGTATTACCACTCAGAAAATATTATCAATGACATGTCAAAATAAAGATTTATATTTAATTGATTACTGAGAAAGGGGAGTATTGTTCTCATGCAAGACACAGATTTCAAAAAGGTAAGATGGTTTTTGATCTCTTTTTCTAGAGACTAAGAAAAATATATGTAAGTAAAATTTCCTTTTTTTTTAAATGTAGTATTTCAAACTGAGCCAAAGATAATCAAATTAAAATAGCATCATTTGAAAAAAAGAAGGGATTAAGGAACAATGACATAACCAAGTAGACAAAGAAGCAAAGTGTTTCACCATAGAAGTATTCCAGCTAATGAAGAAGAAATGATGGAGTTGGTATATCATTATTTTGCAGACTTCTAATGAAATAATGAATCTAGGCAAAGATCTTTAGTGTCCACTAACAACATAAAGAAACAAATGATATTATGTATTTCTTGATACAATATGCAATAGCATTTATGAAGTATTCTTCCCCTACTGGGATCAAGTCTGTAGATCAAACTGTTTACATAATAAATGAAAACATGGCAATGCAATCAGAAAATCTAAAATGTGGGAAACTCCACAGGACAAATGACCTGGTGTCTTAAAAAAATTAATTACAAAGGAAAAAAAGAAATAAGATGGAGTACAGAAACTTCTAGATTAAAAGAAAACTGAGAGACACCCAACAAAGGCAATGCATGAAAGTTGTCTGAATCTTCAAACTAATTATAAACAAATGAATGAATTAGTGAATGTACAATCAGGGAAATTAGAACTATGTATATGATAATACTGAAAAATTATTGTAAATGTTTTTAAATGCATGACAACTGCTCTGGAATTATGCTTGAAAAAGCATCCTTAACTTTTTATCAGTGTCCTGACATTTTTAATAGATGAATTATAAAATGTCTAGGATTTGCTTTAAAATAGTCTAGCTGGTGAGGGAGGGTATTTCAGATGAAACAAGAGTGGATTGGTGGTTTTGTAGCTGGATATTGGGTACATGGGATTTATTATGGCATTCTAATCATTTATATGCTTGAAATTTCATGATAAAATGTTGCAAAATGTTAAAGTTGGAAGAAAAAAAAAAGTGATGGAGAAGACTTACCCTGCTGGATATCCTTCATTTCTAAATGCAAACTAGATATCAAGATTCCCACAGTTTGAGATCGTTTTCCATCCAATAACTTGATGATCTGGAATTTAAAAATAAAATCAATACAAGCTCAAATGACCATACAATCTTTCAGAAGCATATCAAAAGCATTAAGATTTTTAGATACTCTGATGAACTAAACTGATGCTATAGTCACTTTATTTTAATGATACTTTAATTTGAAAGTGACTTATCTACAACTATAGATATTTTAGAAAATAAGGGAAAAACACCACCCCAAACTCTGCCCATCTAATACAAGCACTAAAATCCTTATGTACTGTACTACGATCTTTTTATTCAAACACTTATTAACTCTAATTGCAACATATGTACATTTTATATCCAACTTTGCACATTTCCGTATTGCTACTTCTTAGATCACTTCAGAGCCTCCAATCTTTTTGGCTGTGTCATCTGCCCAGTGGTTTAGGGGAAAGATCAGCATGACCTCAACTCAGCTGTCTACCAGTGATGCAGCCTTGGAAAAGGCCAATTTCTTCATCATGGAGTAGGGCTGACTATATTTAATCTGTACATTCATTCTAAAAATTACAGGACATAATATATGTAAAGCACTCATATAATATATTCTTAACACAGATTATTTAAATAAAATTTTCTTGTCTTAGAGAATTGAGTGGCTTCATATTTGTGCTATTTTAATATAAACAATATAATACTTTGTACATTAAGTCTTAATTTTAACTGCTTAAAATTGTTCTTTTATAATAATATAGATATGTCAAAACTTTACAGTCTTCTTATAAACTCCAAATACCTCATTGCCAATTATGGAAAGAGAGCTCTTCATAGTTTTGGTTTCTCTAAACCTAGTAAGCCAAATCAGTTCCTTCTAACACATCACACAGTGGTCACTAAGGGGAAAAAAAATGATCTTTTCTCTCATGTGACACAGCTACAAAATTCAATAGGGCATGCACACAGAATATCACCAAATCTTAAGTTTTTTAATGCATTTGCTGGGTAAAATACAAATGAAACTAAACAGCTATGTTTCTCCTTCCACCTAGGAACTTATAAACTTACCAAAATATAGTGAAGATACAGTTAGACAGTAAGAAATATTGCATTTATATTGGTACTAAACTAGCTGAGTTGCTTGCTGGTTGAACAATAAGGAATAACGGAGTTTGCTCCAAGATTGTCTAATTACCAATCTATCAGTCAATCCTGAATCAGTTATAGCCTGCCCTTTATCTTTCCTTTCCCTGCTCAGAATGGCTACTTTTATATAACTATTAAACCTAAAATATAGTAAATACCAAGCTTTTATCAAGATAAAAGGAAATCTGATTTTTTAGTCCAATGTATTTAATAATTTCAACATTAGTCTTAAAGATTCTTGGGGAAGACAGAATTTCAAGAGTTTTTAAAAGAAATAAGAAGGTAGGTACTTGGTCTTTTAATTTTTTTTATATGAAAGCAAAAGAGAAAGAGATTATCTATAATCAAATAGTTTCTTTAAAAATGCAATTGCTGGCATTTTCTTAGATTGAGAACACAAATTTAAAATGAAATGATTTTTAAAAAGTCCAATACAAAATTAAGAAAAACCACATAAGTTTCATGTAAATATTCATTCGTTCATTCATTCATTCAACAAATACCCGCTGTAACTCTTTTATGTGCCTGGCACAACTTTGGACTCTGAGGATACAGAGGTGACCCAGACAGATCAAGTCTTTGCTTGCCCTTGTGAAGTCTGTAGAGCTTAGTTACCTAAGAAAATCACTTTGGCTTTGTTTTTCTTTCTCAAGACTGCTTTGGCTATTTGAGGTCTTTCGTGGTTTCATACACATTTTAGGATTATTTGTTCTATTTCTTTGAAAAAAATGACATTGGAACTTTGATAGGGATTGCACTGAACCTGTACATTGCTTTGGATAGTACAGATATTTTGACAATATTAATTCTTCCAATCCATAAGCACAGAGTATATTTCCACTTAATTGTGCCTTTCTGGAGCGCCTGAGTGGCTCAGTTGTTAAGCGTCTGCCTTCGGCTCAGGTCGTCCTGGGATCGAGCCCCGTATCGGGCTCCCTGCTCAGTGGGAAGCCTGCTTCTCCCTCTCCCACTCCCCCTGCTTGTGTTCCCTCTCTCGCTGTGTCTCTCTCTGTCAAATAAATAAAATCTTTAAAAAAAAATAATTGTGCCTTTCTTTCATCCGTGTCAAACTTTTCAGTATACAGGTCTGTCTCCTACCTCCTTATTTAAATGTATTCCTAGATACTTTATTCTTTTTGATACAACTGTAAATGGGATTATTTTCTTAATTTCTGGGATCATTTACTGCTAGTATATAGAAATGCAACAGATTTTTCTCTATTTCATAACCTGAAACTTCACTGAATTCATTTATTAGTTCTAACAGTTTTGAGGTAGAGTCTTTAGGGTTTTCCATATATAAATTAAGGTTATCTGTAAATAGTGACAGTTTTACTTCTTCCTTGCCATTCTGGATGCCTTTTATTTCTTTTTCTTGACTAATTTCTCTGGATAGTTCTTCCAGTACTATGTTGAATAAAAGTGGCAAGAGAGGGCATCCTTGTCTTGATCCTGATCTTAGAGGAAAAGCTTTCAGCTTTTCAGCCTTGAGTATGATGTTAGCGGTGGGCTTGTCATATGTGGCCTTTATTATGTTGAGGTATGGTCATTTTTTACCCATTTTGTTGATAGTTTTTATCATATATGGTTGTTGAATTTTGTCAAATGTTTTCTCTGCATCTATTGAGATGATGACTTTTATCTTTCACTTTGTTAATAAGATGTATTGCATTGACTGATTTATAGATATTGAACTACCCTTGCATCCCTGGAATAAATCCCACTTGATCATGATATCTGATCCTTTTAATGTATTGTTGAATTTGGTTTGCTAATATTTTGTCAAGGATTTTTGCATCTATGTTCATCAGAGATATTGGGCTGCAGTTTTCTTTTTCTGGTGGTGCCCATGTCTGGTTTCAGTATCAGGGTAATGCTGGGCTTATAAAATGAGTTTGGAAGCATTCCTTCCTCTAATTCTTTGGAAGTTTGAGAAGGATAGGTATTAAATCTTCTTTGAATGTTTGGTAGAACTCACAGTGATGTCATATGGTCTTGGCTTTTGTTTGATGGCAGGTTTTTGATTACTCATTGAATCTCCTTACTAGTAATCAGTCTATTCAGATTTACTATGATTCAGTCTTAGGAGGTTGGGTTTCTAGTGATTTTTTGATTTCATCTAGAATGTCCAACTTGTTGGCATATTAGTTGTTCAAAGTAATCTCTTATATTCCTTTGTATTTCTGTGGTATCAATTGTAACTTCTTTTCTATTTTTAATTTTACTTACTTGAAACTTCTCTCTTTTTTTCTTGGTGAGTCTAGCTAAAGATTTGTCAATTTTATTTATCTTTTCAAAGAACCAGCCTTCAATTTCATTGATCTTTTCTATTGTCTCTTTAGTCTCTATTTCATTTATTTCTACTCTGGTCTTTGTTATTTTGTTCTTTCTACTAACTTTAGACTTTGTTCTTTTTCTAGTTCCTTCAGGTATGAATTTTGATTATTTGAGATTTTTCTTGTTTCTTAAGGTAGGTCTGTATCCTTATGAAATTTCCCCTTAGAACTACTTTTGCTGCATCCTATTGATTTTGGTATGTTCTATTCCTATTTTCATTTGTCTCAAGGTATTCTTTTTTTTTTTTTTTAAAGATTTTTTAATTTACTCATTTGAGACACACACACACACACACACACAGCATGAGCAGGGCAGAGAGGCAGAGGGAGAGGGAGAAGCAGACTCCTCGCTGAGCCAGGAACCTGACACAGGACTCGATCCCATGGGATCATGACCTGAGCTGAAGGCAGATGCTTAACCAACTGAGCCACCCAGGTGCCCCTCAAGGTATTCTTTTATTTCTCCTTTGATTTCTTTGTTGACCCAAAGGTTATTCAGCAGCATGTTGTTTAATCTCCACTTATTTGTGATTTTTCCACTTTTCTTCTTATAATTGATTTTTAGTTTCATACTGTTGTAGTCACAAAAGATGCTTGATATGATTTCAATCATCTTAAATTTATTGAGACTTGTTTTATGGCCTAACATGTGATCTACTTTGGAGAATGTTCCATGTGCACTTGAAAAAACTATATATTCTATTATTTTTGGATGGAATGTTCTATGTATATCTGTTAAGTCCATCTGGTCTAATATGTCATTTAAAGCCAATGCTACCTTATTCCAGCAATTTTACTACTAGGTATTTATCTGAAGAAAACAAAAACACTAACTTGAAAAGATATATACATCCCATTTTCATTGCAGCATTATTTATAATAGCCAAGATATGGAAACAACCCAAGTGCCCATGGGTGGATGTACAGATGAAGAAGATGTGGTCAATATATACAATGGAATACTACTCATCCATAAAAAAGAATGAAATCTTGCCATGAGCAACAACATGGATGGATTTGGGGGGGGTATTATGCTAAGTGAAATAAGCCAGACAGAGAAAGACAAACATCATATGAGTTCACTTATATGTGGAATCTAAAAAACAAAACAAAACTCATCATAAAAAAAAAAAAAACTCATCGATACAGAGAACAGGATGGTATTTGCTAGAGTGGAGGAAGGTTGGAGGAAGACAAAAATGGATGAAGGATGTCAAGAGATATAAACTTCCAATTATAAAATAAATAAGCCATGGTAACATAATGTACAACATGGTGACTATAGTCAATAATGCTATAGCACATATTTGAAAGTTTTGAAGAGAGCAAATCCTGTAAGTTCTCATCACAAGAAAAGAAATGTTTTGTAAGTTTGTATGGTGATAGTAACTACGCTTATTGTGGTAATCATTTTGCAGTGTGTACAAATATTGAATAATTACACTGTACACCTAAAACAAGTGTTATCTATCAATTATACCTCCATAAAAATCACTTTGGTAAATTGCTGAAAAGAACCAAAAAGGCAATTAAAACATCACCTGAACTTACTGCAAAGAAAATTCAAAAGAAGAAA